ATCAAATATAATATATTTTTAACATCTACAAATTATACTTAGTCATTTCTTCTGATGGTTTTGGCAGAGAAAGCAAAATAGTTAACGCCACTGACATGAACAAGTATGAGAAGTCTACAAAATCTCATTCATAGAAACAGATATGTATATATAGGAATTAGTTGGTTTTTATGAAATGTTTGAAATTACTTTAAATTCAACCATACTCCCACCTTCTATTCCTATAGTTTTCTGAGAATTGTTGGATATATGCAAAAGCCGATATTTGTCGAAAGATGCGAATTTTCCTTTCCTTAATGGAAATATAAATTCGCCCCAAGTGGTGTACAGAAAATTTATATTAGAAAGGAATTTCCTACTTGTACCATCAACAATAAAAAAGATACAAAAACTATCAAAGATAACAACACTTTTACTTCATTTAGACAACCATAGGAATGTATGCTAGTTTTATTGGATCCAAAAACTTCTAACGTCTGACTCGATTAACACAAATTTTTCAATACTCATTCATAGTTCAGACATATATATGTATCTATACCCTATTGATTGAAGACTGAATAATTTTTAATGAGAAATTCCATTCATGAATCGACTTGTAGTCTGTATATTCTATTATCAATGCTTACAAACATGTGAAGAATAATTCATTTTCAATAAAAAGCCTCTAGTGATTGCATATAATGCAGACTGTCCATCGGTGTCTGAAGACAAACTTGAAACATTCTGACATTGAATAATGCCTTCTCAGATTATAAATTCAGTCAAAGAGAAAAAACTGCATAAATTCTATTATGTTATTTTTATGGAAAATTTCATTCTGCGATACATCTTAAGAATAGATAGTTCAAAACTCGTTTTCAACTATCTCAAAAAATAGCATTATTCATGAAGAAACTTTATTCGTCTTTTTCTTTCTAGTATTTCGCTGAGTAACAATTAAATCTTACTAAAGCGCTATGAATAAGAATAATAGTATGACACAATTATTTTCTACGATAATTTCGAATCTGTGGACTATCTATAGATTATATTGAAAACTAAATAATTCTTCTAATGTTTGAAATTTCATGGATTTCGTCTCGTATATTTAGTGCAAACCCAATCGAGCGGAAAGATTAGTGTTTACGACACTAATACCTGACATAGAAGACATGTTGGATGTGAAAGCATGAGGGTGTGTGTGTCTTGTTTTCATCTATAGTTATAGTCACAACCACATACCCTCTTTAGAAAAAGCACAGAAACGTAAAATGTAAAAGATATTCAGTATTTTTTATGAGAATTAACTATGAAATTTCATATACTAATAGAAAGTTTGGCATGTATGTATGTCGAGAAATATTCTCTATTGTTTATTTTTTATAAATAAATTTTCATCGTATGTGAAAATCTTAATAACTTTTAAAAAGAAAACTAGAAAGAACGCTTAACCATAAGTGGAAAAAGGAGTTTATTCTATTTTACTCGTTACAATCAATTCAGAAAATAAAAACTAAAAACATTAAGAATAAATGATTTAATTGAATACGTACAATGCATAATGATGGTTATGAACACTATACGGTCATATAATTTTCCAACAAGTTCAATAAGAATATTATTTAATGTTGGCCGTTACAATAGTCTATAAATACATATAAGTTTTAAAATATTATGATGGATGTATTATTGTTATTGAATGTTTATATAAACATCATATATTATTCTTTTTTGTATTCAACTATTATCTTTAATTAATCATAGTAAAATATCACAAGAATTTGAATAACGATTTTCAATCAAATAAAATAAAACTATTATTTAAATTATCTTCATGACTTTCAAGTATATGTAATTTATCATATTGTTTTGTTGTTTGATCTAAGTTATATACCACACTTATATAAACTATAATTTATTAATTATATTATTAAGTCATGAACGAACGTGTTCGTCATATAGATCATATGTCACTTAGATTATTGTTATAATGACACATAACTAATGCAGAAAGATCTATAATATTTCTAATATTTTAGACTTTATTTATATAGTGATCTAATCTTTTATCTATGTGAAATAGGATAGTTTACATGTGTTATATTTTAAATAAATTAAAGCCAAACAAACAACACAGTTTTTGTTTGATAAAAACAATAATTTAGCAATGAATTTGTCTTTCTTTTCATCTAGATCTTTGTATAATAAACTTTAGAATTCTTTTGATAGCCTCCTTCTTTACACTAATTGTTAATGATGTGTTATTAATTTGAATTGATATTAATATAGAATCATAATGTTCAAATGTCATATCAGCAGGTTTAAAAGAAGAGCAGATAAATATTTTTACCACTGTGCTCCATCTATTTGTAAAATCTTTTGTTAAATTTTTTTATTCATTTTGATCGTTCAATTAATTAATTGAAGCTAAAACTGAAAATCCATATTTTCTGAAATGATATTCTTGATAAGGAACTAACAATTGATATACGTTCTATATAATGAATCATTATATCTGACTACAATGTTCCGAATGATGAGTGTGTCAAACCCTTATTTTAGTTTACATTTTTTTCATCTTTACAATGAATTTTCTTACTTATTATATTCTTTGATTCAAGAAAAAAGTCTTTTCTTATTCTGATTTCAGATAATGAACAAAGAACATTCATTCAGATACATTCTAACAACATCTATAGAAAAGGCTTTAGTTCAATAAACCAGATCGGTCATTTGGTCAATCAAAAGAATACGAGCAACGAAATGACTTCAAAATAGAGTTGTCACGAGCGGAAGGTTCATACCATTATCTTTGAAAATTTTGCTTTTATGACTTAACTTTTTCAAAATCTTTTAAATACTTTTTAATAATGATCAAAAATGTCTTATACTCTTCGAAAATCTTCAAATATTTTTAAAGATCTTCAGAATTTTACAATAAATTTGTCAATTTCAATAATTTATAGAAGTGTTTTGAAAAATTTATCGATCCTCGAAACTTTAATATTTTGCAATAGTTCTGCTTCAAATTTACATTTATTTTTGATTAATTAAAATGAATACCTAGACGAACAGTTTTTCATCATCACTGAGTCAATTTTTTTAATCGTTCCATTTAATGATGATATTCATTTGTATTCTTTTTTCCGAAATAATTTAAATTTTACTACTAAATGATAATTTACATATTTTGTTTTTTTTGATTATTATTAATATGTATACATGCATAGAGAAGTCTAGAGTATGAAATATACACTATTAATTTTTTTCTAGACGTATTTATACATTTTCACTTTAGTTCTTCAAAACAAAGTGCGGAATCTCATCATACTTCAAATTCTCATTCAAAACGCTGCTAACTATTGTAATAGATCAACTGGAAATGATAATAAACAATAACCATTTAAACTAAATTGTAATTTATTTATATGTTGATAATTTTGTTCCATAAATGATATTCTAACTATGTTTATAATTTTCACTCGTTCAAAAATAGCTGTCTGAAGTAAGTATTATTTTTATTTTCATCCAATAATAAATAATTATGAACTGAATAAATGTCTTCAAATATTTATATTTAATCAGTAGAATTCTCTTTCTTAATAAATTTCTTGTAGAACAATCAACTTATTATATATTCTAAAATGTGATAGATAGATAAGAATATCATTATGTCTATCATCAAATAAACGATCATTGCTTTTCTTTTTTTCTTGTGTCTGTAGATGAAATCCACATGTTTTATCACTATATAAATATATATTAGACAGATTTTTATTTTTGATTTGGTAAAATTTCTTAGTAAGTTAACAATATGATATCATCAATTGAATCATTTTCAAGTGAAATTTTATTTGAAATATTTGAATATTTATTTCCATATGAATTATTTAAATTATTTATTAATCTTAATTATCGTATTAATAATATTGTTCATTCATATCCACTTCATTTAGATTTTTCTTTAGTATCTCGATTAGAATTTGATTATATATGTTTAAATATACAACCAAAACAAGTTATTTGATTAATATTATCTGATGATATAATACCTCGTCA